TTTAGATTGTCTGCCTTAGAATAAATTTAATATCATTGAAATTGTTTTCTCTGGCAACTTAATTCTTTCTATTGCCTTTTTTAATGCAATTAGTGATACTGAATTAAAAGTTTTTTTCATATCTTGCAGAACTAACCATAGTTCATTGTTGTTCTCTTTAGCATCTTCTATTATTGCATTTATAATATGTACTAGCTTCTCAGTTAAGTTTTTTGGCAGTCTTGCAAAGTTTGGCTCTTTGAGTATATTTTTTTTGTAGAAAACCTTTGTTAATCTTTTAGTCAGAATTTTTGTTGTACATTTCCAAAAGGTTTCTAGAAGTGATATTGGTCTAACATTATCTAAATTGTAATGCCAGTCTATTTCTTTAGAGATTGGGTATATTTGTAAAATCTTCTATTTGTTTGGGATATTGCCTGTTTTAATACAAATTTTTGCAAAATTTCTAAAAATTTCTTGGAACTTAGGTCCTGCTACTTGAATTAGAGTATATGTAATACCTAAAATTCCTGATACTATTTTCTTTTTAAGGCCTATTAACATTTCACTTCATTTTTTTTCTGTAATGTTTTGTTTCAGATCTTGGTATCATTTCTTTTTTTATTGTTTTTTTTGGTTTGTATACTTCTGACTATTATTCTTTGAAAATTTCTTAATTAAATTGTCTTGTTCTAAACTAGTTTTGGTAGTGTTTTTTTGTCTTTTCTAAAACTTCTATTGATTCTATAAATAATTTTTTTTGTTCCTTTATCTCTCTTATCAGTCTATCTATTTTAATTTTTTTTGATAGTTTATCTAATAGTCTTATTAGCATTTTGCTTTGCTTTTCATCAATCATTTGATATTTTTTTTCTATGTTTTCTTTGATTTCTTTTTTTCTTTGATTATTCAATTCACTGGCTCTTCTTGCATGAAATATCTTCTACCAATCTTTTAAATTCTCAATAAGTTCACAGGATCAACTCTTCTTCATCAAATTTATATATGTTTCATACTATTGATTAATAAAAATAATTTCTTTATTTAGGTCTTCTATATAGTCTTTTAAGTAACCTAGTTTGATGTTTTTCTTTCCAATATTTATCCATCTTCCTAACTGAATAAGTGTTTTTTTCAATTGCACTTTTTTTGTTTTCTTTCTTTTGTTAAATACTATATTTGATATTTTTTTTTTGGAAAAATATTTGTATGCTATTGTAATAATGCTATTGCTGATTGCATTCCATCATTTATTTATGTTCTCTTCATTTCTAGTGTCTTCTTTTAATTAGGAAAACCTCTCTAAATCTTGAATAGAAATTTTCTTTTCTAGTTGCTTATCGAGATTTTGCTTATAGTTAATCCAATCTTCTTCAGTTGCTTTGTTATATATAATTACTGTTCTTTTGATATTTTTTCTTCTAATTTTTGCTGCAATGTATAATATAATCAGGTGATTCAACTTTATTTTTGCTACTACCACATTATGATCACTGTTTGTACATATGTCCATTAGCTAAATTTTTGCTTCGTAAAGACTATTTGCTAGTTCTTCTGTAATCCAAATATAATCAATTCTTGAACCTGAACCTTGACTTGACCAGAAGACTTCTTTTGATTCTGGATTAATTAATCTAAATGTATCTCAAATTCTTGTCTTTTAAGTCAACCCAACAATAGATTTAGTTTTGGTTGCTTTTTCTTTGATTTTGTCAGTCTATCTAAGTTGACATCTACTACACTGTTAAAATCATCTATAATTACTATTTATGTTTTTTTGAGTCTCTTAATGTACTTGTCTATAATTGTTTTTTGAATTTGTCTTTGTTTTCTTTGTTATTTGGTGGCAAGTAAATCATTATAACTAGAGTTTGGACCCAGATATCTGTTTATCTATTTATTAGTATCTTTTTTATAAAAGTTGTATTCAGATAACTGCCAGATTTTAATTTACAAATAACTGGATAAATCTACAGATAACTGGATAATTCTTGTGAATATCAGATAATCCTACAGATATCCAAATAACTAGGTAACTTACAGATATCATTAGAACAGATAAGCATGGTTCAATAGGTTCAAAAAATTTAATCAGTGGTAAGATAATTAAATAATTAATGTATAATCAGAACATAAATCTGTAATAAAGTATAGCATATATATATGTGAATTATGGACATTTAAAGTTGCAACATATAAATTAGTTACCATTTTATGTATATATTAAGAATTTGACACAATTTTCTGTAAATCAGCTATACATATGGCATTAAAGATAGGCATTACTATTAACCAAAAATTTTTACATACATACATACTTGGGTGAAAATCAAATAAGTAATCAAAACTATGTCAGACATATTAGTAATTTTACTATGATCAGATTTTTATCAGTAAAGTTAAAATGATTGGTCGAATGATTTTATATAATTTTATTATATTGATTGATCGATCACTTAATAATATGTACTGCAACTAATTGATATAAATAATGCATTATTGATTTTTTCATTATTATATATCAGAGGTCCTACCACTACAGGAATAAAATAAATATTTTTATTACTTTGCCCATTAGTGAATTATCTATCGTTAATACACTCAAGAATATTACCTCTTGTATAGTTTAATATAGTGATAAATTCATAATGCTTTTAAGCATCAACTTCGATATTATTAAAATATAATCTTAATAGATATTTTCATAAATTTTTGTTAAAAATTCGAATATGCAATTTATAGCATAATTAAAATCTTCTTAAGCATTATTTTCAATGATAATTAGTAGATGCTATAATAGAAGATTTTATGAATGAAATTTTAAAATCTTAGAAATTTAAAAATTTAAAGTAACTCATAAAGCATTTTATGCTTTGGTAAACTATGCAGTCTTATATCTCAAATATAACATGATAACACCAAAGCACAATATTGGCAGCTTTTAAATTTAGACAATACCTTTTGATTGTTGTAAAATTTTGCATGACAATAATATGATTAATGGTTAATTGCTACAGATATATCTAAAACAAAAAGGCCTTTGAATTAGTATATATAGACTTTTTTTTGAAATTAAGTTTTATTATTAAGACAAGATTCTTACATCAGTTCTATCAAGTTTTTGTATTTGAAAATACACCTCCAGTAACTTGCCAATTATTTTTTAAAAACACTAGGTGTTCAAAAGTAGAAGGTAAAAGTAATGTTCTTTTTTCTGTCATTGTATTCCTAGCATCACTAAAAAGTCTTTCACTTGTGGTCGAAGTTGCTAAGATAGCCAAGTATTTTCAAGTCAACTTACTTAATATAGAGAACCACTTTTGATTAATGTACTACCAGGTTAGAGGATATTAATTTTATTGAAGTTCTTGAGTTCCAAGATAATCTGAAACTTCTAACTGTAGGCATCTATTATAGAACATCAAAGCTAATAAAGAATTAGAATAGTTTTGTTGACTATTATTTTCTTCTATTCTATATAGCATATATGACTTTTCATATTTGGTTTTAAGCAATTCATATGTTTCATTTTTTAGAGATTCTGACATAAAAGAAAGAGGCTTGCACTGAGGATCCAAAAGTGCTGCTAGCATGACTTCATTACTAGGCATATTCCAATAATATGACATAGCATCATATAATGCTAATTTTATTTTTTTATCAAGGTCTTTACAATTTTGCAGATTATTAATCTTAATTCAGTGCCACTTTTTATTTGATACATAGTCTTGTACTCCTTCATCATCATCATCATTATAAACAACATCATCCTCAAAAGCATTAAAAGAAGATTCAAAATCTGTATCTGAAGTCATAAAAGAAAGAAGCTCTTGCTTAATTACAGTAATTGCACTATATATAAAACTAATCATAGCATATTTGCTGCCTCCTAATAATTCTGTTGCTTTAGCAAAAGGCCTCAAAATTACAGTTAACAATGATATGGCATTCCATTCATTATTTGTTAGATTAATTTTTTCTAGGCAAATACCATCTTTCTGATTTTGTGAGTTACTATTTAGCATTAAATTGGCTATTATAATACTAATGATGTCCCAAATTTGTAAAAGTCATTGTCAGGCTAGGTAAAATAAATTCCACCTCATAGGAACATCTGCAATAATTTGCAATTGATGATCATTATTTTTTAGGTCATAAAATTTATAAATAAATTTTATATATGCTATGTGTTAGATTAAAGTTAACATTCAAGAGCTTTATTATCAATTGATTTTAAACACATTTAATTTTTTTATATAATTATATATATAACACTAAAGATATTATAGTTTTACCTTTATCCTAACTTAGATTTTGCTCTAACTCTAATAAAATTCCAAACTTTTTTTCACTTACTATATTTTTGAATTGATATAGATTTTTTTAAACATTGATTAATCTTTCTATTTGCTTTGGTGTAATAAAAAATGACATGAGTCTTTTGGCACATGCAATTAGAATTTCAGTATTCAATAATCCCTTCCTGATAGCATATTGTAAGGTATGGGCTGTGCATAGGATCTGAATGATATATGGCATACACTTTATAGCTTTAACCATGTTGCTTCTACTGTTCATCATAATAGTAAAAACCTTATTTGTTAGTTTCCAATCATCAATTACAAAATTTAATATTTCTGCAATTGCTTTGCCAGTATGCGAGTATGGCATATATTTTATTGTAAGAACAATTTGATTTAATTGAAAATCATTGTCAATAAATAAACAGATAACTCTGATATACCTCATATGATTTCATCCAGTCGATAGAGCACAAGTCAAAGAACAGGTTATAATATTATTATTGAGTATCTCTTTAAGATTTTCCTTAGAACTTAAAAAGGCATCTGTAAGTAACTTTCAGCATAGCCTTTCACAAGACAACTTATAATTAGGATCAAATTCTTCTAAAAATTCGACAAAACCAGCTCCTTCTCATATATTAATAGGTAATTGATTCTTGACTAACATACTAATAAATTTTTGATCTTTTTTTTCTTTTTGTTTAAAATTGTTAACAGCTATTCTCTAGAACATCTCATCAATATTTGTTTGTTTGGACTGCTGTTGCTGAAGTTGTCATTTGTAAGATTTTCAGTAATTTCATGTTGTGATATCAAGTAGCTAATAAAATTGCCCATTGAAGCATCTGTTGATCCCATTAGATAGCCACATAGTTGAGGCCTATTAATTCTATTAACTTTGAACAAACATCTAACTATCTGTTATATGGCTATACAGGTTTATACAGTTGATAGTAACTTCATATCCAACTTTTTCTGGGTACCTTATCAATAGGTACAAGTTGAAGATTTTTAAGGTTAGATTTTGGAGGTTGATTCGTACTAGAACTACATTTAGGCATACTGATATTTGCATGATCATTATATTTATTGGTTAAATAATTATTGTTATATTTATTGGTTAAATAATCATTATCATTATTAGTTGTATAATCATTATTGTGTTCTTTAGTTGCATAATAATTATCATATTTATTACTATTTTCATTACTTAGCATCTCTGAAGTACTTTTATTATAATGTTTTTTTTTTTTTGCTCTTCATAGTTTTAGCTAAGTTGTTGTGTTTTTTTGATTGTCTTGTAAAGAAATTATTGTCATCTAAATTTCCTTTGAAACCAAGTTCAGTATCACTTAAGCAAATGGAGTTAGATATATTCTCTTGTTTTGTATATTTCATATTATACTGTATGGTTCTTTTGCAAAGTAGATGTAACTTTTTCGTATAGATTATCATGCTAATGCATATTTGTATATAATTAAAGATCATGAGATATTATGAACGTATATATATAAATTCTAGAGATAAAGCTTTGAAAATTTAAATATAAGTATGTTGTTTTAATAATTATTTTTCTATCTCTTTTCCTTCTTCGGAACTTAAGTTAAACAAAGTGAAAAATATTTAAATTTAGGATAGAGATCCTATTTATATAAAATGATAAGTTTAATAGACTAGTGATTGAATATCATAATCATCATATAAAGAAAGTCAATTAACATGCATGTAATTTAAATTCAAAGTAAAAATCTCCTAACGCAGTAAGTTCATAATATATCTAAAGCTCTAAATTGAAGATTCAGTTAAATCATAATACTTCTTATTTAAGTAAAGTTCAAGACCATTAATTACTAATGAAGATTGATAACAATTCAAACACAAAGCATAAATGCTATTTGAGATTAGCAGAGAAAGATGATTCAATATACAGTTGGGTATTTTTTTATATAAAGAGTATAGGTGTTATCAAAAATGAATAGAAGGTATTTGAATTATAAATTATATCAAAATAGTGATCATGTGACTTAATACAAAAGAAAGCATTAGAACAGTATTTAAAATCAAAAGTATGTAACAGTAGAACAGACAACTAAATGTTTAAGCTAGAAAAACAAAAAAGGCCAAAAAATAAAATAATAAAAAAAAGGCATTGAACATTCTAAAATTTGATATTGGATATTGCTATGATAAATTGTTAAAGAAAGAAAAACATTTAAGTGGTATCTAAAACCTACAGAGAGTGGTTACTCTGAAAGAAGTTAAAGACCAAATATTGGATATTTGTCAAATAGCATAAAAATAGTATATATATAACTACAATCTACAATATCTTTTGTCTTGGAAAAGTGACCTATATGGTAGTTTACTTCAGTGTTACTTAAAACTATTGATTGAATGCTACAATATTTATTTTATAAGAAGCAAGGCTTGAAAGTTAGTGATAGTTGGATTTAATGAAAGAAAAATCACTGTAATATATTATTGTTGTTTTACCTTAGTTCAATATCTGCTTATATTGTATGTATACATTTTTATACATTTCAAATTGATATGTTTCTAAAATCTACTAACTTATATTATAATATTAGGTCTCATATTAATATATTACTATGCATGTCACTTATTACTATATTAAGATACACTTGAATTAGAATTTATTGAAAACCTGTGTTATTTTTTTTTTCTTTAAAAGAGTGACACATTATATATAGTATGGTATACATGAGTGCTATTAAGAGAAAACCTAGAACTTGTACTTTTAGAACATTATTAACTTGTAAAAAATATCTTAAAATCAGACAATTCAGTGCCTACTGTTTTTAATATTATTTGAATCATCTCATTAAGATGATTCAAATGATAAGATATTTTTATTAAAAGTAAATATTCAAAAAAAGTACAGATAGGTTTTCTCTTAGTAGCACTCATATATAGTTTACTCTGACATTACTTAAGATCATTTATATATTTGTATATATATTGAGTGCTACAATGTTTCTTATATATATAGCATATGTGAAGCTAAATGAAGAAAAGTCATTGTATGTATACATTATTGCTGTGTTCAATATCTCTATCACTACATTTTTATACATTTTAGTTAATAGATTTGTAAAACCTATCAACTTATGCCAGAGGCATATGTATGTACCTCATGTTTAATACATTAATATAAATATAACAATCATTATATTATAATTAAATACTAAGGATTTTACTGATGAACTTGTATGTATATACATATGTAGCATATTTCTTTATCTTACTTGTTCAAAAATAGCATATATTGTAGTTTATTATGCTTTACTAAAACCTGCTACATATTAAACAATTATCATGTAACTTTTCTAAAAAAAGCAACTAATCATTATAAAGGTACATAGCATTTATACATTTATAAGTTCCTATGATGACATGGGTTACTTAATACCTGGATACCCACAGAAATCTACAGATTCAAGATATTCACAGATACTTGCATGGATACTGCAGTTACCTGTGGATATCAAATGTCTGTAAATACTGTGGATAATACAGATACTTGTAGATACCAGATGTCTGCAGATACTGAAGATATCTGTAGATACTATGAATACTCGCAGATACTACAGATACCTATAGATATTACAGATACCTGCAGATACCCGCATATATCTGTTAGGTTATCCTTTTGAAATCTGGTGGATAAGGTATTAATCTATAAAATATTTATCATATTCGAATATACAGTTAACTGCACAAATATCCAGATAAGCAGTTAACAGGTCCAATTCCTAATTATAATAATAATTTCTAGCTGTTTGAATATGAAACTAGCTGAGATTATATATTCGTTTACTCTGTTTATCTGTTCCAAATATTTTTTTTACTGATTGCTAATTAGCAAACCTATACCTGAACCTTTCTTTTTGTTTAAACATGCATTTGTCTAAAAACTTTTATATCCTTCTAAATTCTTGTTAGGAAGAATCTCTCTTTAGCTAAGATATTTGTTTCTGAGAGCTCTATGATATCATGTTTATTATTTATTATCTATTCATACAGAACTTCTATTTTTTGATTATTTGCTTTAAGGTTGTTAATGTTGTATATTGCTAGTTTAAACTCTATTTTTTCATTTTTATATATTCTTCCTGTACGAATTCTATATTAAGTATTTTTATTTTTATTTTTTTTTAGTATTAAGGTAACCTCTTTGGTTTTTTGACTTTTATTAATCACTTATTGGTATTGTGGTTCAAAGAATCACTACAAAAGAGAATATAATTGGCTATATATGTAACTTTTCTATATTACTTATTTAAGGAGTTTACCTAAAGGTTCTCTACCAATTGCCATACCTAACACTCCTGCTTGGGTGTTCTACTTTAAACCTTCTGAATCTGTAACTTGTATTAACTCACTGGGTTATACTCAGATGCCCAAATCATCATCTCAATCTTAGAACTAATTTATCCTTAAGGTAAACCTCCCAAAGTCTTCTGTATTCATTTTTATAGCTAACCTAGATATTGCTATGACTGAACCAATACTTGTGATCAAGACTAATCATTAAACTACTATGTTCTTGTAGAGTTCACTTAGACTCCAGCATCTACTTCACAGCATAACCCTAGTACTTTAGTATATCTCTGCCTTTTTACCTGCCTTTTTACCAAACTTTCAATCCAAGTAGCCTATATAGAACTATGACCAGTCCATTGGTATATCAGGTCAGCCTAATATCCTTTTTCTTCGGTTCATTCTGGCAGCCTTGTTGGTAGTATCTCTAAGACTCTCAACCTGAAGGTTCTTGCCTGTCCAACTACTATGACCAAGTACTATGACCTTGGTATCCATTTCTTTAGGCTAGCTTTTACAGTAGGGCTGTCAAAGATCCAGCTACCTCTTTACTCAAATCTTTCTAAATAAACTTCTTATTATCTAATTTCAATGAATTTACATGACCACAAGGACTTATTTAGTATTTGCACTGCCTGATTTGTCAGTTTGCATTTCTCTATATAATATTATACTTATACAGATGCCCTATAACCTGCCAGTCATACTGGTGCAACTATTATTACAGGTATCCTAACCCAATCATTAGTAACAGTTGCTATAATATGAATATTACATAGGTGATTATCCAAATTTTT